TGTGTGTGTATTTTTTTTTTGGCCTCCTGAACTCTGACCTCCTACCTAGAGATTTTCAATCATCCATTTTCAGGGATTCCAAAGGTCACCCTTCTCAATTTTTAATCTATCTAAAATGACTTATAGATACATAAAATGATCTTAATTCTTACTTCACAATTAAATCACTGGCTTGTATTTACCTGTGCTATTTTATTATCTACAATGTGAGGTTGACCTTTGTGAGATTCACAATCTTAATCCTACCCTTTTGTTATTTTCTTTTTTCCAGTTGTATGAATGACATATGGCATATGAACCTCCAATTTTTAGGTGATGCACCCGAATCATTATTCATGTTCTATTATGTTCATTCAAATAACAGAAAATAAAGTTAAAAATTGAGTGAATAAAATTGATAACATTGATTGAACAATTCTTCAATGAACATCACCTATAGCCTATACAGTTTTATTTCCTAAATTAGTAAAACTTTTAAGTTTTTTAACCATCGTTGTTACACTATGAAGTATATTATTTAGCAACAGTGGAATAAAATACTCTGATAAATATTTGTTGAGCTTTATGAGGCAATATTCTGAGTTATCGTAATTATTTGATTTAGTACAGTATTATTATTTTTAAATATATTCCATTAACCTATTGGTATTTAATAGGCAAGTGAAGCTTTCAAAACAAATTCAAATAAAAATATTGAAGTATTTATTTAAATATACATCCCTGCCTATCACAAGTATTCCCAAATTTAGCATTTATGTAGTCACTATCCTCAAAAAATACTATCAGTTTAAAAATAGGGGCTGCATGAGCTGCTAAATTTGTGTGACCTGCATTTCATGAAGAATGCTCAAGAAAACTCAAAGTAATATTTTTTTCAAGTAATAATTATGAAGAAACACAGCAAATTTTATGATAGCCAGTGAACCTCAGAGATAGACTTGCTTCCCTGTTTGTTTGAGGTGAAAAAAAAAATAAAGAAGAAAGGAGACCAGATGAATTCTTTTGCTGCAATTAGAGGTGATGCATGTAGTGAACTGCTAAGTATCCATGACTAATCAAGATAGACAGGGCTGTCCCTTGCTAATCACCAAAGATATTGGCCTGTCCATTGGAGAAAGGAGTGAGTATATCAAAAAGAACAGTCAGCTATTACCGGGGCAAACTCTGTCAGGAGTGTCTGTGAATGACAAGACAAAAGGACAGAGAAAAAATTAAAAGTGGTGTTAATTATCTTTGAATAAGAATGCATTTTTATTGCTCATTGTTTGCACAGAAAGATGCTTTGCTTGTTTTCTCTCATAAAGTGTAATTTTAAAAGAAATTGGTAATATTTAAATTATGAAATTTATGCCATAAAATTAATTGCAGTAATTATTTCTCACAATATTGTAAAGCAGTTAAACTTTATAACTGTTTTATATTTCCTAAGTAATCTTTAGGTCCTAATTATAGTCCAGTATCAAAGCAAGTTCTGAACAAAGGAGGAAGCCACATAAAACAGATGAGTTGAATTTCTGTGGTAGAGGAAAGCAGTTCTGTTTATTTTCAGTCTGCCATTATTTCTGTAAACATGCAATTAAATCTTAGTTTATAATTCATAAGTGATTCATTTCTCTCAAACACAGCTTAACTTTTAAATTTTGCTGCTGTTGCTAAGTCTTAGATACCATCTTGGGTTTAGTAAGTACCTTTGTCAGGGAACCAGTAGTTGGAAACTTTAATGAGTTAGCCATCAAATCATTATTTTTGCCTCTTTATTAAAGTGTTAGCAATTTCCCCATTTTCAGAAATATTGCATAAATTTGTGTACTGAAAGAGAAATACAAATGCATAGCATTTTAGCTGTTCATAAATAAATGTCCTTTCAAATTTCAGAGCTCTTACTATTTTCAATATCCTATGTGACTGTGATTTAGCAGAAGGTACAGTGGCACTGAGGGTGGTGAAAGACATTTCAAGGGAGGGGCAAAGGCCCATTGTTGTACTCTTTTCAACCAGCCCTTAGTAAAACACAAGCTGTATTAGAGACAGAGAAGGGAATAAGGAAGTTGAACATATTGAAGGAGAGTGTTTCATTTGAACACACATCCATGTGCTTAGAGAAAAGAGGTTTTGTAGATCAGATGATACAAAGCATATTGACTATATGTAGGACAAGCCTATCTGGAGATCTGAGGCAGATCATGAGGATTACAGATTAAAAACTATATTGTACTTACTAAGAAAAGTCCATGTCCTGAAGGCTTCACTGCTGAATGATATAAGACATTTAGAGAGAAACTACTGCCACGCCTGCCTCTTCCATGAAATTGAAAGGGAGGCAATACTTCCAAATTCGTTCCTGGAAGCAAGCATAATCTTGATCCCCAAAGCAGAGAAAGACCCAACTGAAAAAGAGAACTATAACTCAGTCTCACTAATGAACTTAGATGCAAAAACTTTAATAAGATACTCACAAATAGAATGCAGGAGATCATTTAGAAGATCACACAACCTGCCCAAGTGGGATGCATCCCAGCAATGAAGTGATGGTTCAATATACACAAATCAATAAATGTAATACACTGTGTTAATTTAGCCAAGGACAAAAGCCATATCATCATCTCAATGGATGCAGAAAAATCATTTGACAAAATCCAACACACATTTATGATAAAAACCCTCCAAAAATTGGATAGATGGTCTCTGCCTCAATCTGATAAAAGCCATCTATGAAAAACTAACAGCCAATATCATACTAAATGGTCAAAAACTGAAATCCTTCACACTAAAATAAGGAACAAGACAAGGACATCCACTATTACCACCCCTGCTCAATAAAGTTTTGGAAACATTACTACAAAGCTACTGTGATGAACACAGCATGTCACTGACAAAGAAACAGACCTGAGGACCAGGGGAAGATTAGAAGATGCAGAAATAAATTCAGACACACTCAGCCAGGTCATCTTTGACAAAGGAGCCAAACAACCTCATGAGAGGAAAGATAACCTCTTTAATAAATGGTGCTGGAAAAACTGAGTTTCAACTTGCCAAAGATTAAAACTATTCCTATATCTCTCACTGTGCACTAAACTAAAATTAAATTAAAGATCTAAATATTAAAATAGAAACACTAAACCGGCTGGAAAATAGTTTAGGTAGAACTCTTGAAGACATTGGTATAGGAAAAGATTTTATAAACAAAACCTCTGTTGCCAGTGAACTAGCAAAGAGAATGAACAAATGGAGTATGTGCTTATTAAAAAGTTTCTGCACAGCAAGAGAAACAACCAACAGTGTAAAGAGACAGCCCACAATTTGGGAAAAAATTTTCACCAGCTCTTCCTGAGACAAAGGTCTACTATTTAGAATATATAAAGAACTTTAATAAATCAGACCTCCCATATTTAAAGACCCAATCCAAAAATGGGCATTTGAAATGAACAGATATTTCTCAGACAATGAAGTAGAAATAGCAAATAAACATATGAAAAAACATTCAACATCACTGGTCATTTGAGAGATGCAACTGAAAACAACACTGAGATTCCACCTCACCCCAGAAAATATGTCTGCTATCATGAAATCAACCAATAAATGCTGGCGGGGTTGTCTGGAAAGAGGAACCCTGATCCAGTGCTGGTGGGAGTACAGACTGGTGGAGCCACTGTGAAAATCATTATGGAGACACCTCAAAGAGCTGGAATTGGAGGTCCCATTTGACCCTGCTATCCCCCTGCTGGGTGTCTTTCCCAAAGAATTAAAAGAATCATACTACATTGATATGTGCTCACCCATGTTCATAGCAGCACAATTCCTGATAGTTAACTTGAAAGCAGCCCAATTTCCCACCAACAAGAGACTGGATAAAGAAAATGTTTTGTTTTGTTTTGTTTTGTTTTAAATAAAATGAAGCACTATTCAGGCCCCCAAAAGTGAGAAACTAGAGACATTCATAGCTAAATGCATGCATATTGAAGATAAACTCTTAAGTGAAATAAATAGGACACAGATGTGTAAATACTGAATAGTTTCTCTAGTGTGAGAAACTGAAAGTGTAAATAAGGTCTAAAAGGTATAACAGATAATTTGAAATAGGAAGAAAAGGTGCAAAGGGGAAGGGGAAATGGGAGGAGCAGGGTAAAAGAAAGGAGAATGGAATTAAAATGAGAAAAAGAAGAAAAAATGGAAACAAAGCCTTTGTGGATAGGGAGGGGTGGAGGGATTGAAGGGAGGGCAAGGGAATGGGAGAAAATAAAAACCAAGATGGACTATGTAAAAGTGCAAATTTGCAATGATGAATATCACTACATTGTATACTTTAAATGTGCCAATAAAATTAATTTTTTAAAACTTCATTGTACATGAGATTCTTTTTATCTTTCCTCATTGAGTTTATTGGTACATTTTAGGTGTACAGTACAGTTACATTCATTATTGGGATCTTGTACCTTTACATGATAGGTCTTGGTTCTCATTTTTTCCCCTTGTCCCTGCCCTCCCTTCGCCCCCTCCTCCCCTCCCCATTTACAAACATTTTATTTCCATTTTTTCATTTTCTCA